AATTATATATATATATATGAAGTTAAACGACGCCGTTCGGATGCCCACCCAACATCTAAAGAAATCTATATATATTTGTTGGACCGTTTCCAAAAATCAAAATCAAATTCACCTCCCACCATTCTCTGTTCCTATCGTGTCTGATTTCTACTCTTCCTCCAATTGGCTGCGCCTCCTGTCATTTTCCTTTCTGTCTCCACTTTCTACCTTTCGTCTCGAGTTTTTGCGTCGGAGGTCGCAGAATTCTCTTCTCGATCTGTCCGCCTCCGGTGAGTCCATCGGTCCAGATCTGTTCTTTTCTGATGTCTAATCGTAGTAATAGATCGATCCGATTGCGTTTGCTTTCTTGTTTGGATCTCGCAGGTCTGAGAGAGAAGAGAGGGAATGGCGCATCGAGTAGATCATGAGTACGATTACCTGTTCAAGATAGTCTTGATCGGCGACTCTGGAGTTGGCAAATCCAATATTCTTTCAAGGTTCACCAGAAATGAGTTCTGCTTGGAGTCTAAGTCCACAATCGGCGTCGAGTTCGCTACCAGAACTCTTCAGGTTCCATCCATCGAGAACCTCATTGATTTCGTTTTTTTGTCCTTCTAGTTGTGTTGACTGATGTCAATTTTATTTGATGCTAATGTTTGGTGATTCTGGAAGTTGATGGAATTTCTATTCATTATGATCTCTTGAAGTATACTTAGGTGTGTTCATTAAGGTTATTTGCATACTATTTATTGATTAGCTTGCTTTGGAGTGTTTTGAATAAATGACAAAACGTGCATCTTTTAATTTTACTTTCAAGGAAGTGGTTTATTGAAGAACGTTAAGATAATTTGTACAATTGGGAAAATCAGGTTGTAGTCAGTTTGTTACACAATGATTTTTATGCAGTTCTCTTCAATCAACAAATCATGCATGCCTTAGCTGTGTTCTGTGATGTGGGTTTGTCACGTTCAATATCATTGCTTCATGATGTAAAACAGACCTGCTTTGAACTGGAGATGTTCTGGTGATTTTTTCCATGCGTTAGTTGAATTGTGGTCTGAGATAGGATGACCAAATATCATACCAAATCAAAAATGGTCTCCCAAGGTTTTTGTGGTAGTTGGAGAAACAACTGTCTGTTTATTTTATTGATGGAATGAATTAAAGAGAACTTTTTGGGTACATTATATAATTGAAAATGAAGTCCTTTTCTTCAAAAATTTACGAACCAAGCTGTTCTTAGGCTGTCCTAACCCTACTCAAATTTGTTAGGTGCACTACAGTTGTTATTGGTTTCATGATGTGAGTGAGTGATGAGTCCATAGAAAGGACATGCAAGATTTTTAAACCTTTCTCATGGTGTGCCCCAGCCACCATATTATATCCAAGGACCCTTTTTTATTTTGGTTCTTGCCTGCTAATCATGGTGATGCTTTTTCCTGCATTATTGGCTTTTATTCGTATTAAATGCAAGCTGATATCTTCTTTTTCTAACTATAAAGGTAGAGGGGAAGACAGTTAAGGCACAGATTTGGGATACAGCTGGCCAAGAAAGATACCGTGCTATCACCAGTGCTTACTATAGAGGGGCTGTTGGTGCCCTCCTTGTCTATGACATTACTAAGAGGCAGACCTTTGACAATGTCCAAAGATGGCTTCGTGAATTGAGGGACCATGCCGATTCTAACATTGTCATAATGATGGCTGGAAATAAATCTGACTTGAATCATCTCAGAGCTGTTCCAGAGAATGATGGTCAAGCCCTGGCTGAGCGAGAAGGTCTTTCATTTCTCGAGACATCAGCACTGGAAGCAACTAACGTAGAGAAGGCATTCCAGACCATATTGAATGAGATCTACCATATCATAAGCAAAAAAGCATTGGCAGCACAGGAAGCAGCTGCTACTACCACACTTCCTGGCCAAGGCACAACAATCAACGTTGCTGATGGTTCCGGGAACGTAAAGAAAGGATGCTGTTCTACTTAAGGTGATAGATTATGCTTCAAGAAGGAAACATATTTGCTAGCAAGTGGGCCTTTCTTTTATTTCTCTTTGTCTTTTATTTTTTTCTTTTTACCTGTTTCAATTTTCTTTTCTTGAGAGAGAGACAATGTAGTATACTTTTTTTCTTTACTTCATTGAGTTGTGACAACAAAAGCTTATGACATTATCAAGGTTCAATGACTGGTATTTTTACCTCCATTTAAGGTACCCACTGTTCTGCCTCTTTATTACCCTGTTTACAGAAAAATTAGAAATGATTTTTCTTCAGTACAGAGAGCTTCTTTGTCAACTTTAGCCCCACACATTTGATAAAACAAGGAGGCTAAATGAATTCACTAGCATGGTTGTCTTGCGCTTGTGATCTTTCATTATGTTTTAATTTGGGAAGGGGAAGGGAGGAAAAGTTATTCTGGTCAATTAAATTATTTCGTTCGTCTAACTACTTAATTTAATTGGTGAAGATAATGTCACTTTCCCTTCGTTTCCTTTTCTTTTATTTCCCTTAAACCAAACATGCTTTTATACTCCTATAAAGTGTAAAAAAAGAAATTATAAGAGACGGACAAGAAACTAACAAGTTACTACTCAAATTCAATCTGCACTGTAACATGATTGATCCTGTAAGTTATAAGAGTTGGACAAGAAACCCATAGGTTACTATTCAAATTCAATCTGTACCGTAACATGATTGATTCTGTAAGTTCTTTCACAGTAATCCTTAATCTTGCCAAGTAATTCACTACAGCTGACTCCAGGCTCTGCTACTACATGGCATGACAATATAATTTTCCCGATTGTAATGGACCAAACGTGAAGGTCATGAACATCTAGGACTCCGTTGATATGCTTTATACCGATTTCCAGCTCATCAACATTGATATCTGCTGGTGTGCTCTCCATCAATATGCCAAACACATTTCTAAGCATTGGTATGGTAGCACACACAGCAAATGTAGAGAAAACGAGGGTGCAGAGAAGATCAACCACCAACCAGTTTGCTTTTACCCATATAACAGCTCCAGCAATCATCACCCCAACAGACTGAATTAGATCAGCGATGACATGCAGATAAGCCCCCTGAAGATTTATGTTCATTACCTTAGCCTTTACTGGAGAACTTGACACCAGACCAGTCTCTTCTTCAATTGTTGTACATGAATGACCTCCACCATGACTGGGGTCTTTGTCCCCACAACCATGGTGAGTATGATCGTGACCCAGCCATTTGACCATGATTAAGTTGATAAAAAATCCAAATGCAGCAATTGCAAACATAAGTGCCCCATTCACATTTGCGTTTTTGTGAAGAATTCTATCAAGTGCTTCATAAATTAAGAGTGCAGATATTAACCATATGAGCTGGACTGATAAAAGGGCACCAATAACCTCAAGGCGATTAAATCCAAAAGATTGGTGGGATGTTGCCTCCCAAGCTGAAGCCCAGACTGTAAAGAGAGAGATTGAGAATCCGGCAACATCAGTAAGCAAGTGGGCTGCATCTGTGATAACTGCAAGGCTGTTGGCTTTCACCCCTCCAACAAATTCTACCATCATAACCATAACATAGAAAATTATGAGTCCACAAAGTTTCGTTGTGGACTTGGAACGTTGTTTTGACTCCAATGTACAATTTTCTTGCTTGGAGAAGGCACAAGAAGAGCAGCAAGACAGCTTATTTGACATTGGAATGGCATCATGTCCTTCAGAGACTATTGTCATCTGACTCATCTCTATATCTTTCTCATCCTCTGATCTCAGAATGGAGACTTCCTCTCCTTCCATCTGCCTCAACAGCATTATATAGTCAGCTAAGCCAAAGCTCAGAGTAAAAGATTAATAATTATGATTCATTTGGCTTCAAACACACAAAATTCCTGGCAAACCATGTTAAAGTCTACTACTTCTAACTAAATATAATTCTGCTCATACAAAATAACCTGCCACAAACTAAAAATTCTTACTCATATTGATGGAAAAGAATGAACCTACCTAAAAGAAATTACCAAACAACATTGCCATATCTACATTTCCACAGGAAAACTGTGCTAGATTAAGCTCTCTTTCCATGCAAGGCTTTCAACTAAAGAAATTCTTCCTTCAATTCAAACAGAATCCTCAGAGAAGAGTCTCTTTGCCCTTTTGTATATCTTATATTGATGGAAAAGAGTGAAGCCACCTAAAAGAAATCACAAAACATTGCCATATCTACACTTCCACAAGAAAACCATGCTAGATTAAGCTCTCTTTCTATGCAAAGCTTTCAACTAAAGAAATCCTTCAATTCAAGCAGAATCCTCAGAAAAGGCTCTCTTCACCCTTTTGCACATCTTTATTTTTCCATAAAAACAAGGAAATCATGTCTTTAAAATCCTATATTTAGCAATTCCTCTTCTTCTACCACCACCCATGTGATCATTGTTTGTCTAGTGACTATTCTACATCCTCTACCACAAGCATATTTTATCTCAAAATTTATTTTTATGCTTTTTTTTTTTTTTTTGCAATTCTAATAAAAAGAAATGTCATTCTATCAACCTCTGTAGCAAACTGCATATATTCTTTTGAACCAAAAAAAGGGAAAATCTCCCATTGAAATTGATAAACTAGATATGCAAGGTAAAGAATGCAATTCAAATTCCAGAAAAGCACAAAGCTGGATAAATCAAAAACTTTCTCCACTAATCATGACAAAGCCCAACAGCATAATTTTCTCTGCTGGAAAACCTGATCAATGCTGCTTTTGTAAGCTCAAAAAGAATTCAAACCCACATCTTTGTTATAAATCAAACACCCATATCAAGTAATCTCTGCTAGGTCTTACAGAAACCTAAAAACCCCAGATGAATTGCAAGTGTAATAGGGATCAATACACACACCTGAACCAAACCAGAAGAGAAAAGCAGAAAACTTTGAATCAAAAAGAGGGCCTTTCTGAACTCCACCATGCGGCCCACTGGTTGGGCCGCCCTCCTCTATGAGTAGGGGTGGCGCTCACCCTTATCTGGGATCCAATGCCTAGTTTCTAACAATTAACTCACCTAACATACTCACCGTTGTCCTCGTAAAAAAAAAAAAAGAAGAAAGAAAAAAGAGGGCCTTTCTTAATTCATAGGAGTAGAAATGGGTTCAGGCATAAAGACATAAAGTCATGCAACGACCCAGTCCTGGAAACAGGGTAGATACTATTTTACGTTTATTAACTTCCCAATTTCTCCTTTCGGTCTCATCCTCCTGGATCTTCCCAATTTGTTAGGGGAAAATTAATTTAGTATTATTAATATTTTAAGGTCTATTTACGTTTTTAACATCATTACTACATTTTGGGTAAAATTTGTATTAAACTTTTTTTTTGTTACAAAATAAAAATCAATCATCTTTCATTTTTTATCTCATCTCATTCTCACCTCACTTATATACTAAGCGACTCATACCTTACTTGTATGCTATACTACTTGAATTCAATATTTCTTATATGCTATACTACTTGAATTCAATATTTCTTACTTTCAGTAAAAGAAATAATCACTAAGATATTTAGTTAATTGACGCATTAAATTTTAGATTAAAGGAATTCATTTATTACTCCACCACTACAGTCCATAGCTTTAGTTCTTTTATTTTTAATTTTTTTTTACATCAAAAGCTAAAAAAAATTAAATGCTCAAATTTAGAAGAATAAGGTTTTCAAGATATGTTAGTATCACAAAAATATTAATATAATTAAGTGATATTTTTTTAATTTAAAATTTTAAAAAATTAATTACTTTATATGCACATCACCCGTTAGATCAAGTGATTTTTACCACCTTGTTAGGGTGCAATCCTCTCCTCCCCTTTGAGGTTGGATTCAAATCCCCTATGATATCTTCCTAAAAAAATAATAATTACTCTATATAGTGAACAGTGTATAATTACTAATACAAATAGTTTTGTTGTTGATGATAATTTAAATATTTTTTTATTTGTCCTAATAGTATAAGTCAATTATGGCGACTTTAGGCATGCATTTGTACCATGCATGCAAGCGCCATAGGATCATAGAGAAAAATGACATTTTTTTTCCATTATTATTGTTTTAAAAAGTGGTGCCTTGCAAATTTTATTTAACTTTAAAACATTAAAAGGGGTATTGAGTCCATTGACAAAGACAGAGGACCAGAATATCAATTTTCCTAATTATTATTATTATTGTAAGTTGACTACGTAAATAGTTTTTTTTAAGACTAATAATATTTTTTCCTTAATTGCAAAATTTTCCAATCTTGAGTTGATTTGCAATAATTATAACAAAATAAAATTCCATTTTAAATTATGGACTGACCAAATCAACAATTTCTTAAATTAAAAATAAAAATCATGAATCATGAATCTGTAAACAAATTTCAGCACATTTGTTTTCTTATGAAAATAAAAATAAAATTGCAAAATAAAAAAAAATTAAAACCATTACAAAATTGAAAGTGGCAATATGGTCATTCCATAACTTCCATGCCTTCAGAATTATCAGTAATTAAACCAAACTATATGAAGGCGCGGATTCTTCGTCTCCGACGAGAAGTGTGATTCATAATCATAGATATTGGCACCTCCGCCACATCGGAGTTGCAGTCGCCACTGCTATTAATTCACACTTTCTCTCTTTTGATTTTCCCTTTATTATTATTATTTTTTTTTTTGTGTTTTATATATCCACTTGTGTTCCTTTGTCGCGGAGGATAATTAAATACAGCCGCCCACATTCTCCTTATCTCTCTTCTTCCCCAACCAAAGAGACCCAGGAAGAATTGCAGCGTGGTTGCTTTTATTTCTTCAAAATTTCGTATTTTGATTACTGGGGTTTTGATTTTTTGAAATAATTTGAGCGACAATGGGATATGCTTCAATTGACCCTGCGCTTTTGGACGATATCATAGTTCGGCTGTCGGAATCCAAGAATATGAAGGGAGCGAAGCAGGTGCAGCTCAATGAGGGCGAGATCCGTCGGCTGTGCGCTGTTTCCAGGGAAATCTTCCTTCAGCAACCGAATCTACTTGAACTCAAGGCGCCCTTCAAGATCTGTGGTACCCTATTTTGTTTTTCACCCTGTTTGCTTCTTCAATGCTTAGCTTTATAGCAGTTGGAAACCATGTAGACGGCTGTTTTGAATTTATTTTCTTAAATGTTTCGTGGTTTGGTTGGTAAGGGAAAGTTGACAATAATGGAAAGTTTAAAACTTTAGAATGATTGTGCGAGTACTTAGAAGCTGCATAAGGTGTTCTTTATGTTGGGTTTTGATCCTTTTAGTTGACTTGCAGTTGATATTCGTGTAAGAGGGTATTATTACAATGATGGGTGAAGGATTGGTGGTGTGGAACCATAACAATTGTCATGTATGAATCCCTTAGACTGTTGTAGCTTATGCTTTTTATTCCTGATTGCTGTAAAATTGCTTCTTGCCTTTTTGCCTGCTTGAGGATGTCATCCATTGTAGATTCTTTTGTCTGTATGTTGGGGTTGTTTAAAGCTTCAAGCTTGAAGGATATATTTGATAGGGTCCTCTAAATAACACAATCACACAAGAGGATGGGGAATTAATGGTGGAAAGAGTGCTTATGTTGCTTTGTTAACATATGACTTTGCAAAGCCAGTGTTGATAGATTACTATATAAAAGGATGTGCTGAAGTAATTATACTTTTTTCTGTTAGTCTTTTGTATAGACTGCATCTGTTTCACTTTGAAATCGAAGCATTATTTTTAACTTGTGAACTTCTTTTTCCTAGGTGACATTCATGGACAGTATGCTCATCTTCTGCTCCTTTTTGAATATGGAGGTTTCCCTCCTAATGCTAATTACTTATTCCTTGGGGACTACGTGGATCGTGGGAAGCAGAGTTTGGAAACAATATGCTTGTTGCTGGCCTATAAGATCAAATATCCTGAGAACTTCTTTCTTCTGAGGGGAAACCATGAATGTGCTTCTATAAACCGTGTTTATGGATTTTATGATGAATGCAAGAGAAGATTCAATGTGGGACTCTGGAAAATATTTACTGAGTGTTTTAACTGTCTGCCTGTGGCTGCTGTCATAGATGACAAAATATTGTGCATGCATGGTGGCCTTTCCCCTGATTTAACAAATTTGGATCAAATTAGGAGTTTGCCCCGTCCTACTGATGTTCCATATTCTGGTTTGCTTTGTGATTTACTTTGGTCGGATCCTGCTAGAGAAATCAAGGGCTGGGGAATGAATGATCGGGGAGTCTCATATACCTTTGGGCCAGATAGAGTCTCAGACTTCTTGATGAAGAATGATATGGATCTTATTTGCCGTGCTCATCAAGTTAGTGACATTTGCTTCTTGGTTCTATTTCTTTGTAACCTATTCAGCTGACACTATGCTTCTTCTCTCAGGTTGTTGAAGATGGATATGAATTCTTTGCTGACAGACAGCTTGTCACAATATTTTCTGCTCCCAACTATTGTGGTGAATTTGATAATGCTGGTGCAATGATGAGTGTTGATGAAAGCTTGATGTGTTCTTTCCAAATTCTTAAACCTGTAGATAAATAGTCTAGGTTCCTCTGAGGTACAGTATGATTTCTGCCTCAGTTTTTGGCAAGAATGGCTAATATAAGTTGCTGACTATCAATTGCATCACATAAACATGGTTCCTTTATCAAGTTCATTAGCTATTTCTAAAGATTGACATTTTATTTGCTGATTGTCCACATAGCAGTTCGTGTGCCCACCACTTAATCCAAGGTTTTGACCTGTCTGGAACTTGTATTGTTTTTTATGATCTTTATTTCTTGACTTCTTGACGGGTAATTTTAGAATTAAGACCCACCTTTCCTCTGATTGCTTGAATGAAATTGGAATGGTAGGCTTGAAACCTTAATTCTCTACAGTTATGAAGTGAAAGTAGAAGCTTTTCTTACCATCATGAAATCAACAAAGCAATAAAAAATTATCTGTGTGGTTAATGGTAGGATGCTTCATTTTGTTATTTGGTGCAATTATAACAGAGATTTTTACCATGGACAACCAACAGTGAACTACCAAATATACTTAGTGATGTGGACATAAAATAACTTATTGTCACATCTGCAGAGAAATGGTTAAGTTTTATTGCTCTATTTAGCAGCATTGATGTCACATTTGATGTCTGTGCTTTTGTTTTATGCCCTATAGAATCCATGATTTTGCTTTTTCTCTTTTAATTTTCCATTTAAGAATTCTGCCCGTTACATTTGTCCAGAACTTTTTTTGTTCATTTTTCAGCTTTCTTGCAATCCATTTAAGCAAACAACCAAAGATTGGAAAACTCATTTGCAAGCTCCTTCATGATCAGGGTTCTGCAACATTATGATTACTTGCTCTTGTCAGCGGCAACTGGTTTTCCGTGAAGGACTGTTAGAGGAAGGAGGAGCTTTTTAATATCCTGTCATAGTATCACTTTACCGTGATCTATGGCTGCCTTGAAGGCCCAAACAACATTCTTTTCAATTAAAGTTACACAAAAATTCCAGTAACTGTGTACATACATTTCTGGCCTGTAAATGACCAAATGACTATATGTAGAATATGGATTCCACTGGAAGAATGTCTGATTTTCATAAAAACCAAGATAATTTTTTTCTCTGATTGCCCTTTCCGTTATCCCTCTTGCATGCTAGTGTTCTGTTTCCAAGTATGGATTAGAACTTAGAAGTCAATAAGTTGAGAACTGAAACTCACTTGATTGAAGAGGGAGGATCCATCTCCAATATGTCATTTGTTGAAAAACATATGTTATATGTAATTGAAAACCTACGCTGCTTCTGCATAGTCTGATTCTGATATAAGCTAGGTATGAACATTGGAGCATGCATTTGTCGCCAAATTAACCCTGAAACGTGCATTTTCTATTCCAGGACATCGATTCTCATTTGAAATGTCAAAGATTGCATGTCTTTGTTCTCTTTTTCTGTAAAGTTTGCATGTCATCTTGCAGGTCGGTACATTGCATGTTCATGCATATGGCATCTATACAGCCATCTGGGCCTTCTCTTTTATTGCCTTCTGCATCCTCACCTTTTCTGCTGTTAATTCATCATTCTCTGCCATTCTCTTTCACTTGCTCTGTTTCTAAGATGAAGATACTTGCATATTGTGATCTCATCACACAGTTTTGAAAAGAAAAACCTCAGAATTAAAACAACTAGAAATTATGGAATTAAAACAACTAGAAATTATGGAATTAAAACAAGATAAAAAAAAAAAAGAGTAAAGATTTACTTATATGTAAATTTTATATATAATACTTATATAAAATATTGATTATTTATCTCTTCACTTTTAATAGTTGAGATTTATTATAATTTTTTAAATTAAAAAAATAATTATCTTTAATAATTATGATAAAAAGTGAATAAATGGAAAGACTCCTTACGATTTAATGATTAATGTTTTACTCTTAGAATTGTAAAACATTATTTTGTATCGTATGAGATGCGTATTTTTTTAACTTTGTTTTTACTTTTCCTTGAATGGGCCTTGGGTTGGGTCTCAATTTTCTTTCTGGACCCCGTGAAAATAGAGAGAAAAGAGTAGCACAACAATGGGCCAGGCCCAAGACTGAGGAAAACCCAGGCAGCCGCCTTGCCTCGATTGCTTACTTATAGTTATACACACAACAATATCTGAGCCTCGCAGTGATCTATTCTTTTCGTGTTATATGCGCAGCGAATTCCAGAGTCCAGAAATTGCGAGGAGAGGGAAACTCATTCTTGACGCTAAAACCTCCGCAAAGAATGTTCTTCCACATGGTATTGGAGCGGAATATGCAGCTGCATCCGCGCCACTTCGGCCGGAACCTCCGCGACAACATCGTATCAAAGCTCATGAAAGACGTCGAGGGGACTTGCAGGTCCTTTTCTTTCTTTCTTTAATTTGCATAGAAAAGTAAACCCGAATTCATAAAAGATAAAAGTTTTAGGCTTTTATCAGTGTTGGATTGTCTGAGTTTGATTTCACTGAGGTTTTGATCTGGGTTTATAGCGTAACGAACTGAAAATCTTGCATTCAGTTGGCTTTTATTACTCGATTCGATTTCATAGGTCTAGACTAGAGTTCCTAAAAACAGAACCATGGAAGACTGTAGATTCTAATTTTATATAATTGGCTTTTTTTGGGTTTAAATCTCAGTGCTACAAAGCTTTCTTTTTTGACAAGAAACTGGATGCCTGATTCTTTCTTTCTTTCTTTATTTTTTTTTTTCGGCTAAAAGAGAATGAATTGAGATTTAGGAATTTAAAAAGGGATAAAATTTACAATTTTTCTGCAGTGGTAGACATGGTTTTGTGGTAGCAATAACAGGAATAGAGAGCATTGGGAAAGGATTGATTCGAGATGGCACAGGGTTCGTGACATTCCCTGTCAAGTACCAATGTGTTGCTTTTAGACCATTTAAAGGAGAGATCTTAGATTCTGTTGTTACAATGGTGAACAAGGTAACTGTTCTTGGATTGCTTGTCCATTAAATTGACTTAAATGACATGAGAGTATCAGCCATAGATTTCTCTGTCTGTTGGGTTCCTACAGATGGGATTCTTTGCTGAGGCTGGGCCAGTTCAAATCTTTGTTTCGAACCATGTAAGTATTTGTCCCACATTTCAATAATCAGTCTTATCTTTATGTATACCATGTGACAATTATGTTCTTTATTCTGTTCAAAATTTTGTGCTTTATGGCTTTTGTTGTTTGGGGTGCATTTTCTTTTATCCTCTTGAGTGATGTCTGCTAATATCAGCTTCACGATCTCCTGTTTTCACTGCTTTATGAACTGTAGGCAATTACTTGGTCAATTTTTTTCCACATGACCATGACACCATGTGAACATCTAGTGTTTCAATCAAAGCTTGTCTACGATCTGGACAGGAAACTTGAAAGTTGAAACTATTCTACCCAATTTTCTTAGCTGAACTAGTTTGCCTTTTAAGTGGAAATTTTCTTTTTGCTAACACATAAGAGCAAGCATAAATTATTTATTTCCTTTGTTTTGAATTCTTTACCTCATTTGCTTGGCTATTGAGGTAAGGATGCTAATAATGTTTCAGTTTGTTTCTTAATGCCAAGGAGCTTTTTAACCGTGTGTTGGTGAACTTCCTCACCGGTATTGTCACCTTTTCACATTTCGTTTATGTTGACTTGGCTCATAAATTTCAATTTTCTTTCACGCTTCAAATTGATTGATTAAGTGCTTGAGATTTGATTATTTTTTTCATGTCTTTCACATCTCCATTGATGATTTTTTTTTTTATAAATCTTTTAGTTGATTCCGGACGATATGGAGTTTCAATCTGGAGACATGCCAAACTACATAAATCCATGTGGAAGTGTATGACTTCATCTTTGATTAATTGAAGACGGTTAGTTAATTTGCTGGTCTAGAATTGTGTTCTTAAGCTTTAATCATTTATTCGTCTTCCAGATGAAGATTCAGAAGGATAGTGAAGTGCGCATAAAGATAATTGGAACCCGTGTGGATGCTACAGAAATTGTTAGTGCTTGACCTTTACTGTTTTGTTTAGTACAACTGCTCTTCAAAACTGGTGCTGGTGTTTTTCAGTCATCTCACATGATTTAATCTTTGCAGTTCTGTATTGGTACCATAAAGGAGAATTACTTGGGTGTGATGTAGGATGATCCTGCAACATCTTAGGTGGTCGGAGGTGGGGATGTTGAAACACAAGGGAGCTTCTGCCTGCATCATATCTGTTTTTTCTTCTCCTGCTGTATGTATGGTTTTAGGTAAATGGAAAACCTACCCTGAATAAAACAGCCCACAACTAGGCCCCTGAATCGACCGAAAACAGATTGTTTTTTTTTTTTTGGTGCAGACCGAAAACAGATTTTATTTATTTATTTATGTTGGTTCAATTATTAATTCATGCAAAGAAAAATGTCATTTTCGTATTGGGGACAACTTTAACATACTAGTGTTATTCAACACTACTCATAAGATAAAGGTCCAAAAAATTATGTTATAAAAAAAAAAAATTCTAGTTCTGCCTTTTTGATTTGATCTATTATATATTATGATTTGTGGTGTCAAAATTAAATTGTTGTCCAATTAATTCTTACCTCTTAAGATTGGAACAATCATATTTATTCATTCAAGTCACTTAGTTAAATTGTAAAAAATATATATATAACAAAGGAGAATTAAAAAAAGGTTTTATAAATTAAAGTTGTAATTATTACATTATTTACATTTATTAATATTGAAAAAACAAAAATTATTATTAATTTAATTATTAGTGTCATGTAAATTAATTTAATTTGAATAATTTATTTAAATAAAAATTAATTTTTATTTTTTAATATTAATTAATATTATCAGAAAATACAATAATCACGTCAACTACGTAAATCGTTTAATAATATTTCTTTTCGTTCGAGTCACATGATATGTGAGTAGAGTATGATAAAAAATGTAAGTAAAGTGAGATAAAAAATGAAATATAATTATTTTTTATTATACAATCAATATAAAAAAAAAAAAACAATAATCACGTGTTGGGAAAAAATAGATTTGACTACCTACTAATGAATTGCAGCTGGTCCTGCTCGAACAAAACCAAAGTGTTTATCAGATAAAAAGGTTAACATAAGGCTCAATTTCAAGCAATCCTCAACCTGATGTTGGCGTTTCACTCTCCCCAAACGACTCGACAACCTCCACTCCATAACCGATTTCCTCGTCCTCTCTCAAAACCCCCAATTTGCTCTGTAACCTTAACCCCCTCAGTCACCACCACAGCTAACATCAGCAGTCACAACAACAATGTTCTAATCCAATCTATATGCAAACAGGGCAGCCTTAAAGAAGCCGTACAAGCTCTGTCCACGGAACCTCATCCTACCCAGCGCACCTACGAGCTCCTTATTCTCTGTTGCGTCCACCAAAACTCTCTCGCCGATGCGCATCGTGTCCACTCCCATATTTCCAGTAATAGGTATGGCCAAGATCCTTTCCTGGTCACCAAACTCATCACTATGTATTCGGAACTGGACGCCATTGATGATGCGCGCAAGGTGTTCGATAAGTCGCGCAAAAGAACCATATACGTTTGGAATGCGCTCTTTAGAGCGCTTACCTTAGCAGGTAATGGAACCGAGGTGATGAATCTTTATCGTCTAATGAATCGGACTGGAATCTCGTCTGATAGATTCACCTATACATATGTGCTTAAGGCTTGTATTGCTTCTGGGTATCTGATTTCACTTCTGAATAAGGGAAAAGAAATCCACGCAAATATTTTGCGATGTGGGTATGAAAAAAATGTCCATGTTATGACTACTTTGTTGGATATGTATGCAAGATTTGGCTGTGTTTCTTATGCAAATTCTGTATTTGGTCTGATGCCAGTGAGAAATGTGATTTCTTGGAGTGCAATGATCGCTTGTTTTGCAAAGAATGGGAAGCCATTTAGGGCACTGGAGCTTTTTCAGAAAATGATGCTTGAGACTCATGATTTAAAGCCAAATTCAGTGACAATGGTTAGTGTTCTTCAAGCCTGTGCAGCTCTGGGTGCTTTGGAGCAAGGGAAGTTGATTCATGGCTATATACTTAGAAGGGGCCTTGATTCAATTTTGCCAGTGGTAAATGCTCTTATTACAATGTACGGAAGTTGTGGTAAGCGTAATTTGGGGCAAAGAGTTTTTGATCGCATGGAGGAGAGGGATGTTATTTCGTGGAACTCATTGATTTCAGCTTATGGACTTCATGGATTTGGGGAGGAGTCGATTCAAATTTTCCAAGAAATGATCTGCAACGGAGTCTCGCCAAGTCCCATATCGTTTGTTAGTGTTTTGGGAGCCTGCAGCCATTCAGGTCTTGTTGAGGAAGGGAAGATGTTGTTTGATTCAATGCATAAAGAGCATAGGATATATCCTAGCACTGAGCATTATGCTTGTATGGTAGATCTCCTTGGTCGTGCAAACAGGTTAGAGGAGGCAGCTAACATCATAGAGGACATGAGGATTGAACCAAATGGTAAAGTTTGGGGTTCACTCCTTGGCTCGTGTAGGATTCATTGTAATGTTGAGCTAGCAGAGAGAGCTAGCAGTAAGCTATTTGAGCTTGAACCAAGAAATGCTGGAAATTACATACTTCTAGCTGATATTTATGCAGAAGCTGAGATGTGGGATGAGGTGAAGAAAGTAAGGAAACTGTTGGAGACTCGGGAATTGCAAAAGGTCCCTGGTAGAAGTTGGATTGAAGTTGAAAGGAAAATGTACTCTTTTGTTTCGGTTGATGAGTTCGATCCACATATTCAAGAGATACATGCATTTCTGATTAAATTGTCCGCAGAAATGAAGGGAAAAGGCTATGTACCTCAAACTAAGGTTGTGCTTTATGATCTCGACGAATCAGAGAAGGAAAGGATTGTGTTGGGTCATAGTGAAAAACTAGCTGTAGCATACGGTCTCCTAAACACCAGTAAGGGGGAAACCATTCGGATCACCAAGAACCTGAGGTTATGTGAAGACTGTCATTCATTTACCAAGTTCATTTCTAACTTCGCGAATAAAGAGATTCTGGTTCGAGATGTTAATCGGTTTCACCATTTTAAAAATGGGGTATGCTCATGTGGAGATTACTGGTGATATTAATCAGAAATGATCTGTATTGGAGATGGCGTTGAGTGTTGACATTTGTATACCAACATCTGGGTTTAATCGAACAATGGCATTTGCTTTGTGTTTCTGCATTACAAATGAATATGTACTTCAGAGTAGATAGAAATGATCAATTATTTCTTTAGATGTTTTTGATACTTTCCACTGCAAAAATGTTTCTGATATGACACAAGATCCCTTGACGATAGGAATTTGCAACATGAAGCATATTTGCATTCACTGCACGGTGACAAAACCGTCCTGCTTAATTCTGGTAAGACTGCTTTCTATGTTCCATAGTACAGGCTTATAGCTGCATTATGAATAAAATTATTGCCAGTGATTTTGCATGAAATGAAATCATGATTATTAGTAGTTGTAAGGGAATGATAAGAAAATCTTACAGGCGTGCGAGATTGTTATATGCTTGAGCTGTTTGGTGGAGACGTATTGAAAGTTGTATGACTTCAGCTGATAGTGCCTCTGCCCTACTTTGTTCTTTTGCAAGTTGACCCTAAAAAGAATTATAACCACGGTCAGCAAAAACGACCATACTGGGAACGATAGTTTTTAAGTAATATGATCAGTTGCGCTAACCTTGAGGGAAAGAATTTCACTTGTATTTGTCTGGGAATTGGTTTGAATAGTTCCATCTTTATGAAGTTCTGACAAGCCTCCCAGAATCTCTTTGTCAGTTGTAGAAAGTAAAGTAGCTTGTTCGGATCTCAACTTATCTAGAACCATACGGAGCTCTTCATTTTGCTTCAGACAGTCTTTTACCTGCAAAATTATGTTGGGCAGGAAATTGAGTGAAAGCACCTCCAAAAGTAAGGCAGTTTCTAACCGAAAAAATGCATCTTCCACATAAACTCAAAAGGCATAACATGAGGCAACGCTTAGACAAAACAAAAGCAACATAATGAGAGATTCTCTTTAACAAGAAGCACATGCAATTAGGAAAGTTCAACCAATGTCAAAATTGCTCCATGAGGCAACTATATATATACTGTTATTTAGTATTACTTTAGGCTAAGGAAACCTGCATGCTTGATCCTTGATGCATCATCAAATTTCTAATAAGATAACCAGATTCTAGCAAAACTTTTCAACTAATTATTTTTACCTGATTTTCCCAGTGCTTTGCCATTCCCATAGCCTCTTGATAAGAAGACGAGAGATTAGAGTTCTCTTCAAAAAGTCTCTCTATCTCTGAAGATTGGCTATCAATCTGCGATCAGAATTTTGGAACATGCAAATGCAAGTCAAACTTCGTGCTCATATTAATAAAGATAAACATCAAGGCAAAGACTTTACCTCCATTAGAAGTTTTTGTCTACTGCCTTCAAGCCTCTCCACCATAACAGCCATATCATGCAACTGCTTCTCAACTCTGTCCTTATCTTCCTGCAAAACAGAAGAGGGTCACCACAATGAAGCATGGTTCTCAAATCTCATCTATAGTTGGTATATCTATTGCTGAATGAAAGATGAAAGCAATTATAAGATGATCAACAACAGACAAGCAAGAAAGAAAATTAAAGGCAAAGAGACTGAAGGACCATATATTAGGGGAGGTTACTGAAAGATTCCAGTCAACACGAACATATATATTTCTACATATTTCTTTTTCCTTTTTTATCCCATTTTTTAATTTTTCTAGAGTTATTGTATGAATTCCTAAATAGAGTTGATGAATAATGGCATTTTCTTACCACTTTAAATTCTTTGCAGTTTACCCTTTCCGTGGCTTCTTCTGCATTAACAAATCGGAGTCAGTGACTGGGAATGAGCAAAGTCAAACATTAAATAACTTACCAATTGCTCACAGTTGATATATATCTTGGATGCAAACACATACAGTTATGGACAAGCTTAAGATGCAACATGAATTCAACGAAATTTGAAATGACCTGAGGCCTTTCTGGATAGAATACTATATTTCTCTTCCAATTCCTGCTTTTCAGACAAAAGGGCAGAAACTCGGGTTTGCTCCTCTGCCAATTGTTGTCTCTCTTGCTGTTTCAGCACTGACTCTTGCTATGGTTTGTAAACCACGATGAGAGACTCAAAATATTATAATGATAACAATAATAATAATAAACTTAAAAGGGAAATAAGGTGAAATAAACACAATGTAAACCTGTAATTCAGACTTCAAGGCAGCTAACTCCTTTTCTAGTGCTTGTATTTGATCTGGTGAAATTCCCATGGAGCTTATCCCACTAAGTGGACCACCTAGTGCTTGTTGCTGCAGCGAGTTCAGCTCAGCTCTCAAAGCTGCTGCATCTTCCTCAGCCTAATACAAAAGGAAAAATGAAGAACCAGAACATAATCCGCTTTCAAATATATCAAAGTACAGAGCACTGGCATACTCTGTATTGTTCTTCTTCCGCTTCCTTCAGATGTTTCTTAAGTGTCCGAAGTTGGGCTGAAAGATCCTCCTACACTAAAACATAAAATTTTTTTTTGAGCAAAGCATAAAATGAACATAATAAAAATATAATATAAAAAAACAAAGCTTCAAAAGGTGTATATACCCGTGCAACAACAGCTGCATCTTTCTCCATTGCAACATCCTTAAGAGCCTTTCTTAGAGACGGTACAATGTTCCCTTCCTGCCAAGGGATCAAACGTGTAAAATAAAATTTTAAACAGGCATTGAGCATTTGATATTAACAACTTGTCAACTTGCATATATAATTTCTGGGAGAACATATAACTGGGATGGTAGGGGAGAACATTCATTTACCAGTTCATTTAGGCGACTTTGTAGCGTTTCATTCTCAACTTCGTTGGTTTGGAGCTGAATCAAGAAAATTATAAGAAATTCAGCATCTTTGACAGTGCCCCTATCTATATCTCCAACTCTCAAACTAAAACCTGAAAATCTATCTAATCAGAGTGAGTACCTTCAAGGATAATGTCTTGTTGTTTTCTTCCAATTCAGTATTCTTCTTCTGCAAGTCTTTTAGTTGAGAAACTAAACCACTGACATCGGCCTGATAATTTAAGAAGTAAATATTCACACATACAATGCCAATGAACAAATCCCACAACTTCAATTTTTCTTCAAAAAAATAAAAATAAAAAATAAAAAATAAAAGACATGAATACAGAATGCTACCTCAGAGAGTCTAATTTCACTATCTGACTTCTTAATTGAAGGAGAATCTGGAAAAAAAAAAAAAATTTAAAAGATTAAAAACAAGAAGAAGAAATAAATAAATAAATAAACAAACAAACAAATTAAAAAGAGAAACCATTAGGGGTTGGAACTTTAGTAAGATCTGGTCCGGAGGAAGTTTTGCTCAATCTCTCTGCAGCCCTCTTCTGCCGAATTTCCTCCAGCTTTGCAAATGACGAAAACCACACAAATTTAATATGAACATCACCGGGATTGATAATTTGAAAAAATAACATCAAATCGTTGAAGAGGAGCAATTCGTTCGTGCAAATGTTCATACGTACCGTTCGTCGACCAAGAGATGCGTGATGCGCGTCCATTGGTGAGTGGTGACTGTTTCTGAAACTGAAACACTCCAATTTCTCCCTCGAAAATTTTCTCTGCAAATCTCCGGTGGCGCTGCCGAATCAAACTTCGTTTTATACATAATTATTTTTCTGTCAACAGCTTACAACAGCCAATTAATTGTCTGGGTGGTGTAGTTGGTTATCACGCTAGTCTCACACACTAGAGGTCCCCGGTTCGAACCCGGGCTCAGACATCCTTACTTTTTCCTTTTTCTTTTTTCTTTTCTTTTTTTAGATTTAAACTCTTGGTCCTGCAATTTTTAATATCTTCAGTTTCCTCCATTATTTTCTTTCTAATCTCCAGTGTTCAACTCAAATCTCCGAGAAGTTTGACTCTCAACTTGCTGTATCCAGATTTATCTCTGGATTTTGGAGCTAATTAAAAGAAATTCTTGGATGGGGAAATTAATAATAAAAAACCCATTATATTTTAAAGGTTTTGAAAATTTTTTGGATCTATGACCTTGAAAAACATTCTAGGTTTCTTTCATTGGTACTAACATCACATGATCATTTCATTGCTATATTTGATGAATCTATTTATAATCGTTTTGTTCTGGGCCTTCCATAGGTTATTATTGCCATAAACATTTTCCTAGCACGATCAAGATCATCATCATTCATGGATTACATGTATTGAAGAAGATTGAGCAAGCATTTGTTTCAGTTGTTGGAGACTAACTGACAGTTGTCTCAAAAGCTGAATTTTAGTGTTTGGAAAAAGATTTTAGCAACAGCTAATCACTAACAACCATTAACTATTAAAGTGCTTAACAGCTATGTATGCTATTACTTATAACAATCATCTATTTGAAATTTTAAAATTATATTTTCACTATTTTATCCCTATACTTTTACCCAAAGTCTCTTAGTTTTCAATTATATTCCATCCTCTACTTCAATACCTATTTTGAGGGATAATCATTAGGGTAAAAAAATATATTATGGAGTTAAAAAAAAAATTTTCTTCCTTACTTGTCAAATCCCTCGGCTACGTACAAATTCATTTTTTTTTAAAAAAAAATGCCCCTACATTTTTTGATAAGGATAATGGTTATGAAATTAGTATGAATTAATTGTTAGCAACTGGAGATTCGTTCTCCAGACCGGGTGAACATTCCACCTCTTTAAATGAGGCACGTGACTATTAAGCCGCTTTTTGGTAGAGTTTACAATGATGGTAGAGTTCGAAACTCCGATCACCTTACCCAAGCACTTAAGGATTGGAGGTTGAACCATTGGACTTAAAAGCCCGGTTCGCCCTTACATTGTCTCAATTGATGGAATGAAAAAAATGTTTCATTTTAACATTCTTTGATTCTTTCTATACTTTTAGGTAAAACTATATGTTAAATTCTTGAATTAGTTCCAAATTTATTATTAAGCCCTCAAACTTTAATTAATGTACATAAGTCTTTGAACTCTATCATTTGAGTAATTTAACTCTTATTCTTATAGTAATTTAGCCATTATTTTTATGGTAGTTAAAAAATTAAGGACTAAATTGTTTAGATTGTGGAGTTTAAGAGTTTATATACATCAATTAAAATTTTAGGGCTCGGCAACAAATCTAGGGTTAGTTCAAGGGTTTAACATATGATTTTGCCTACCCTTTTATCCTTTCTAGATTCTGATTGAGTGGCTTATGTTTATCCTAGCATGGAGTCTTCTTTTTTTTTCTTTTTTTCTTTTTTTGAACATCAGGAATTTTAGGGAGGGGGAGGATTTTTTTTTAAGTTGTTAGTAGGAATTAAATTTTTGATTAATTAAATTTAAGTATTAAAATTTGAAAATAAATCATTAAGTCAAATGATCTAGTTTGAAGTCATGGTGCTCTTTAGATATAAATAAATAAATATAACCATGTCATTATCATAATTTAAGCTATTGATAGTAGTAGCTAACAACAACATTGTCAAATAACAATCACAAACAACAATAATTATTGGTTGTTACCTAACAAAGTAATAATCATTTACTATTAACTATCAATTAATAGTCATTTGTCATCAATTATCAATTTTATTATAAACCAAAAGGCTCGGAAAACCTTCAGTCAATTTCACCAAAATTGTGTTTTTCATTTTGGCAATTAGATTATATATATCTGTCACATTATCTTATTGTATATACTATTATACATTTTCTCTTCAAACCAGCTATTATAAAAGATGAGATTAATTTGGTCTTGTACAATTAACCCTTTACTATACATTAGCGTGATTTGTGCAATTTATAACCCACGTACAGACAAGCCAGCCGAAAGAAAGATAATAATTTGCAAGACAGCCTGTCTATCATTGATGGAACTGCATGTGCATCTTTAATCCTGTCAATTAACAATAGTTCCCCCTTTGTAGATGCCTCGAAATGCTCTCTTTTTTATTTTTTTAAACAAAGTCAAAGAGTGAGAAATGTATTTATACGTAATTTGATATTACTGGATCCAAAATCCCTGAGTGCGCTTGGAAATGGTTTTTGACCTTTGTGCTTTGTCTCTTGCCTTATTTATATGATGATATTGATATATATACTTTGAATACGGTTAGTTTTGTAATACCAATCTCCCCTCAAATATATATTATTTAAAAAGAATGTTATTTCAATCTCTTCTGTATTATTTAAATTATTAAATAAGATAATCTCTAATATAATAAATTATTCACTTATTTAATAATTTTTTATTTATAACTTAGAAGAATCTAAATTTTAAAATAAAAAATTTTATTGCATATCTATTGAAGGTTCACTCTATTTTTTAGGGTAAAATCATTTTTTTTTATTTTAATTGTACAATGAGAGGCAACTATCTCTCATCCATTATCCTACTTCACTCGCATGTTATGCAATTCGAATTTAAGACCTCTTACTTCCAACTAAAAAAAATGACAATTGAATTATTTAAATTGTTAGTTAAGATAATATATAAGGTAAAATCACTTATTTATACCTTATATATTATTTTTTATCATAATCAATACTTTTAAGAATTTTTACTTTTGATAAACATACCTTATAATTTAAATTTTGTAATAAATCTAAAAACTAACAATCAAATCTCTTATTTACACTTTAACTTTATTAGTAAATTGAGGTTTTTTATAGATTTTAAATGATGAAAGATATTGATTAAAAATAAAAAATATAAAAAATATTAATTATAAAATAATAATATATAAAATACAAATAAGAGGTTTGACTATTTAAAAAAATGTAGTATGAGTTTAGGCATGAGGCGGGGAA